CATGGCAGCCTGGGGCTCTTCATGCCTGCTATCTTCCAGGACTTTGCATGGTTGTCTCCTTGTCATCATTCATGTCCTATCTTCAAAGTTACCTCTGGGAGAGGCTTCCCTGATCATCCTCAATAAAATAGCCGCCCCCCCCAAACCACATAATTATCACATTATTTTGCATTATTATTTTCCTCCATAGCCCTATCACTACCTGGAATTCTTATTTGTTTGCATATTGCTGTCTGTGTCTCTCCATTAGAAGGCAAGACTTTGTCTTTTTTACCTTCTAGTAAAGTGCCTGGCACAGTAGACATACAGTAAAGATTTGTCGAATGGACATATTCCTTGTCAAGCTATAGAAGGCATCTTTAAGGAGTAAACTTTCCTTTCAGTTCTGAAAATATAGCCACATAAATAAATATTTATTACATGCTATATTTTCACTAGCCCCTTTCACAATATGAATTTTATACCATTATTTATTTGTAGTTTATTGTAAAGAACACCAGACTGAGAGTTAAGAGTTCTAGATTCTAGCCTTGATCCTGCTATTACCTGAAAGACACTGCACCTTTGGGTCCAGGAATTCAATTTCCAGGAGTTTATTTCAAGGAAAAAATTGGACAGATGTACAAACAGATATGCACCAGGATGTTCATCCAGTGTATTAATAATAGCAAAAATTAGAGGAAGATAATTTCACACAATGGGGCTTTGGCTAAATAGACTGATTTATCCTTCCATGTCACACTGTGAATTCATTTGAAAATGATGATTGAATTCATTTTGTTACTTATACAATAAATGTCCATTGAGTACTTGCCAATTTCAGCCACCTTTCTAGGTGCTGAGAATGTAGCAGTGAATGAAACAAAGGTCCTAACATTCATGAACCTTGTATTTTGATGGGGAAGAAAGACAATAAAAATAAATAAATATACTTCATAATATGATATCATATCACATAATATGATATCACTTCATAATATGATATCATAATATGATATCACATATAAGTTCTATGAAGAAAGAATAATGCATTGTAAAGGGATTGGGGCATCCCCCAACAGAATGATTAGGGAACCTGCTATTTTATATAGTGACCAGGAAAGACCCCTCTGAGAGGGTCACATCTGACCAGAGACCTGAATGAAGTAAGAAAGTGAGGCATGTCAATATCTGTGGAAGAGAGTTCCAGGCAAATACGATGCCCCTGAGGCAAGAGTTACGGTGGCAATTTTGAGGGAAAGAAATAAGGCCTGGAGAATAGTGAGCATGGAAAATAATGGTAGGAAATAATATTGGGGAAGCAGCCAAGGACTGGGTTTTGTAGGGCCTTATATAGGCCACTGTGAGGACATTGGATTTTTATTGTAAATATGACAGAAAACCTTGGAGAATTCTGAATAAAGATAAGTCTTATATTTTAAGACTGTGATAAGTAGGCTAGGGAAGGACAGAAGTAGGAGCAAGGAAACCATTTAGAAGGCTATTTCCGGTTTCCAGTCCTGTGGCATGGTAACATGGCAGTAGGAATGGTGAAAATTGGTTATATTTGGGACTTTTACTTATTCTAAATAAAAGTAATATAAAAAGGCAGGTATGGTAGTCTCAGAGAAAGAGGAGTAAAACATCTTTAGATTTGAGTCTTTGCAATTGAGTGAAGTGCAATTGAGTAAAGGATGTGTGATAGTGTTGGTTAAGGGGGTCCAGGGATAAAGGAGAGTGTGTTGTCAGGGCGTGGATATCACCTGGATATTATCACCTGGATGAGATCCCACTAAGAAGTGAGAACTGAGTGCTGGGGCAATTCAAAGGATCAAATGTGCCAAATGTTGCTGAGCTTGGAGTAAAATGAGGACTAAGAATAACCATGGGAGGGCCTGGTGTAGGTCACATTGAATAAGGAAAGGGTTAAGGTCCAGGCAGGAAATATAGGAGGCCCCTGACTCTCCTGACTAGGCTCACGAGGGGGCTACGTGACCAGGCTCACAGAAATCCCAGATGTGGAGAAATGCTGAGGCGTACAAAACCAGAGATAAAGGGAACAAATCAGACTGCCTGGCCCTGAATGTTAGGGAGTGTTTCATTTGTTTGTTTGTTTTTTTGCAGCTACACTGTAATCACAGAAACTGACCAGACCTCAAAGAAGTAAGCCATTAAGGATGTTATCAACCATCCTTGCTCAAACTAAGACAGCACAAGATTTTCAAGGCCACAAACTTCCTGGTCATTTCTCAATAAAAGACTGCCAGTAAAAGCCCACAGTGGCAACCCATTTGGGACCCCTCTCACTCTAGAGAGTTTTTTTCTTTCCTTTCTGTTCTCACCTTCACTTAATAAACTTTCAGTTCACTTCACCTTTCATTCTTCCGCTCTGTGAGACAAGAATCCTGCAACCCTGTAACAACATTGATGTTAGTGGGGGAGAAAAGTCTGATTGGGGTATGCTCACAAGTGAATGGATTTTTTCAACAAATACATTGATATGGGGGGGAAATTGAGATGGAGAAGGCTATTAAAAAGAAAACCACAAAGGGGTGCCTGGGTGGCTCAGTCGGTTAAGTGTCTGACTCTTGGCTTTGGCTCAAGTCATGATCTCAGGGTTGTGGGATGGAGCCCTGTGGGCTCCATGCTGTGCCAGGAGTCTGCTTCTCTCCCTCTCCATCTGCCCCTCTTCCCGCTCACATGAGCGGAAAGAGATTTCTCTAAAATGAATAGATAAATCTTAAAAAAAAAGAAAAGAAAACCATCCAGGTCCAAGGTGGAGTCACTTGCCCCCAGGATAGCAAACTAAGACTTAATTGCAGTTTCAACCTTTCCAGGAGCGGAATTTTGTTATTATTATTTTTTTAATTTTTAATTTTTTTAAAGATTTTTTTGAGTTTTTGATCTGAATTTTTAAAAAAGATTTTTATTTATTTATTTGAGAGACAGAGAGAGAGCGAGAGAGCACAAGAAGCGGGGAGTGGGAGAGGAGAGGGAGAGTCAGGCTCCCGGCTGAACAGGGAGCCTGATGTTGGGCTCCATCCCAGGACCCTGAGATAATGACCTGAGCCAAAGTCAGATGCTTAACTGACTGAGCCACCCAGGTGCCGCAAGGAGTGGAATTTTATTTATTTATTATTTAATTAACTTATGTTCAGTTAGCTAACATATAGTACATCATTAGTTTTTGACGTAGTGTTCAACGATTCATTAGTTGCTTATAACACCCAGTGTTCATCACAACACATGCCCTCCTTAATGCCCATCACCCAGTTACCCAATCCCCCCAAGCTCCTCCCTTCCGTAATCCTCAGTTTGTTTCCCTGAGTCCAGAGTCTCTCCTGGTTTGATTTTAAACCGATCCATCTGGAATTTTCTGGTCAGCACCAAATGAGGTAATCTATGGCATGGGACATTGCCCCTCACTCCCAAAGGAAGAAGAGGTAATCTTCACAATAAGGCCCCTGCTCTTCCCCTTAAGGCAATGTGACCTTGTGTGAAACAAAACTTTCTTTTGCTAATAACTTCTTTGCTGCACCCTCCTTTCTATAAAAACCTTCCATTTTATACAAATCCTTAGAGTTCCCTTTTACTTACGGGGTGGGAGTCTGCCCAATTCATGAATAGATTAAGATAGCCAATTAGGGGCCCTGGGTGGCTCAGTTGGTTAAGCGACTGCCTTCGGCTCAGGTCATGATCCCGGAGTCCTGGGATCGAGTCCCACATCGGGCTCCCGGCTCAGCGGGGAGCCTGCTTCTCCCTCTGACCCTATCCCCTCTCATGCTGTTTCTCTCTCTCTCTCTCAAATAAATAAATAAAATCTTTAAAAAAAAAAAAGATAGCCAATTAGATCTTTTAAAATTTACCGGGTTAAATTTTTATTACTTAACAGAACCTTTAGATTAAAAGGTAATTGAAAGACACATCAGCCAGTCACAAAGGCTTATTGGCTCCTGAAACAATTGGTGTCCAAATAATGACTTGATTTTGATGATTTTTTTTTTCCTTAGGGATAGAGAGGTGGGGAGGGAGGGGCAGAGGGAGAGAGACAATTTCAAGCAGACTCCAGGCTGAGCACAGAGCCTGACACAGGGCTGGATCTCATGACCCTGAGCCAAAATCAAGAGTAAGATGCTTTTAACTGACTGAGCCACCCAGGTGCCCCTGATTTTGAGGATTTTAAGTAATTACTAATTTATTTTTAAATGAAGTAATGGTTCTGTGTTTATAGGGGAAAATAAGAGTCCTATTTGAGAGATGCATGTTGAAATAATGTCTGGCTTTAATGGGTAACTACTCATTGAAGGTGGATGAGTACAATTCTGTCTACTTTTGTATATACTTGAACCCCATAATTTTGTAAAAAATGAAATTCAAATAAGATAAAGAGGTAAAGTTTAAAACTTTTTATCAGAATAACAACCTTATTTTTTATGTCCAATATGCTCTTGTAAGATCCCCACGAATTTATAAATTTGTGACTTATGAAAATTACCTCCGAAAGAAATCTTTGATACATTTTTTAATTTGCTAATCTGTTACCTGGAAATATAATTACACATGCTTCAATTTCTAAATGAGAATAAATATGAACGTATAGTGAAGAAATGGAAACTGAGAATGTTATTGATTCCCAATCATGTTCACAAATATTTCCTGATTAAAAATAAATTTAATGTTATTTTTGACAGTGGGATTAGATATAATTTTAAAAAATTAAAACATCTGTTTACCTGTATTTTCTAACTTCATGTAAGGCATACGGATGCGTTGTTTAAAAAGGAGTGAAGCTACCAGTTGCTACTTTTACTGATAGAAAGTACTAACACATACGCCCCCCCTCCAATCCCGCAGGCTACTAAACCTCCAAAGTGCGGGGAGATATGCGCAGGCGCATTAGCAAGCTATTGGTTGGAGGAGGAACTAGAGCCTCAGCTAAAAGACAGCTCTTTCAGCCAATCAAAGGACACCGTCAGGGGCTTCTTCCTGTAGGAGGCGGCCGGAAGTCGGATTTCGGTTGCGGAGGCGAAGGCGGCTACGGTGTAAACCCTGAGCTGAGGTGAGGGGGCGGCGACGGCGTTGGGCTTCGTTCGGTGTGCATTTCTCCTTCCGGACCTCGCGGCTTCCTCAAGGCGGGCTGGGAATGGGGAAGGCTTGGCGCGGGGTATACTCTCTCACCTTCCTCTCCCGCGTCCGTCGGAGGTTGCCGCCTCTCTGCTGCTCGTGGGGAGCCGGGTGGAAGGTGCCCTCGGTGGGCTTTCTCTGTGTGGGGAGGCCGAGCCGGACCTCAGGTTGGGAGACCTGAGTTCTAGTTCTGCGCGCCGCTGGTTTGCTAAGCTGTGTGGACTTGGCGAGTACTTTGGCCTCCGGCTATTGTCAGCTTAGAGTGACCATCCCTGACCTCCCTCCTCGGGGAGAGATGCTGAAACCGGCTGAGTTAGCCGGGGGGGCGGGGAGGGGGCCTCTGTGAAGGAGGCCGGCTGATCCCAAGCCTAATGGTCACATTCATCTGGAGAGTTTTTTAAAAGCTGCTTTCCAGGGGCGCCTGGGTGGCTCAGATGGTTAAGCGTCTGCCTTCGGCTCAGGTCATGATCCCAGGGTCCTGGATCGAGTCCCGCATCGGGCTCCCTGCTGGGTGGGGAGCCTGCTTCTCCCTCTGTCTCTGCCTCTCTCTCTCTCTCTCTCTCTGACTCTCATGAATAAATAAATAAAACATTAAAAAAAAAAAAGCTGCTTTCCAGCGGCCCCATTCACCTTAGACGAATCGAATCACATGTCTGGGGGCGGGACCCTAGAATACCTTCCTTTTTTGGTTAAGCCCCTAGCTTGGAACGTAACACTATAGAAGGTGAATCTTGAGTCAGATAACCGACTGTAAGGCTTGGCGGTGGTTTTACTGAAGATACTGCCTTTGAAAAGTTCGTTCTAGAGAAGTGATAGAGAAATAAACATAACTTCTGTAATATGTCAAGTTCCTTTTATACAGTTAAGATTCATGGTTTACTGACTCAAGAGACCTTATACTGTGTAACGGAAAGGACCCAGAATAAGAATTCTTGCTGTGCTTTTTACTAGCCTTTTGATCTGGTGCAAACACTTCTCTGAAATGAAAACTACAGTAGTACTTAAGAATTTGTAGGAAGACGGAGAGGATTTAAAACGCACCTGTCGCGGAGTTGGCCTTTGGAAAATGGCAGCTTGAAAAGAGGAATGCACGTGGTGTTGGGAAACACAAAACAGGACGCCCAACTAAAAATGCTTGAGTGAGGTGAAACTTGGGCTGTCTGAAAGTGCTTTTGAAGTACTAGATCAATGCTAATTTTCGGATTTTGGTAGTAGTATGGTTATAAGGAAACATTTTTATTTGGGGGAGAACAGTAAGGCAAGTGAGGGAAAATGTTAACATTTGGAGATTCTGGGTGAAGAGTATGGAATGTTCTTTGTACTTTTAATTCAGCTTTCTATAAATCAGAATTTACGTTAAAAAATTGTCACTATTTGCAGCTATCCTGTGTTGTAAATTAGTGAAACAGGACAGTGGGTATAACCCCCACCCTCATGAAGTTTTACCCCTTTTTCCTTAAGGGCTGCATAATATTATATAGAAATATTTTATCCACTCATATTGATGAAGTCAGTATTATTTCTGACTTTTCGTACTCTTCAAACATTGCTGCATTAAACACCCTTAATACACATTTTTATGTACTTGTGATGTGGAACAAGTGATTTTATACCTTGGGGTTGGGAGCAGTAAAGATAAGGGAAGTTCCAAAAGGACTTTCATATGTAAAGACTCGCAGGATCCTGGAGGAGTGTTATAATCTGCCTATCTCAAGTATTTGTCAGTGGGCTGCAGTTTTATAAGGAGATTTAATTTTATCTATATTCCTTCTGCCTTTGTTTCCCACCTTACTTTCTCTAATTTTCTTCATTCAGAAGGTCATCCCAGTTTTAGAATAAGGCTTATAGCTGTTCTGGCCCTGTAGGGAAACTGGTTGGGGTGGAAAGGACCCACTCACCTCAGTTCTCACAGAAGCCATCATCACAACCACCCCACAACATTCTTGGGTGGTGGGTCAGTACTACCCAAGAGAATATGGGAGAATTCTCACACACAGCTGACAGGAAACAAATATATATTTGGAATTTAATTTGGCAGTATCAAAATTTTAAATGCTGATATTCTTTGAACCAACAATTCTACTTCTAGAATTTTATCTTGTAAAAATATTGGTACAGGCGATGTGGGAAACAAGAATTACTAAATTTCCTTACCACCTACAGCCCACTGACAAGTCCTTAAAAGAGGCAGAGTGACATTCCTCTAGGGATTCAGCTGCCTTGATGTTAATATTTTGCTAAGGGCAACAGGTAATCTTAGCCCAACCCCCAGGATCCTGTGAGTCTACTTTAACATATAAAAATTCTGTTGGAAACTTCGTCTCTACCCCCAGATACATGTTAGCAATCATCCCTGAAGTATATGACCCACTACTGATAGACATCTGAAGGGTCTCATGACTTAGTTTTTACTAACCAGTAATAAATGACCTTTCCTAACAATAGGTAGCCCCCTCAGGAGCCTGGAAACTTTGTTTCCTGGGGGGCTTACACTATCCCTAACTCTCTCCCAACTTTATTTAATGGGCCACTCCTCAGGACCCCAGTGCAGTTCTTTCTGCCCATGGGTCCTGTCCCCGTGCTTTAATAAAACCACCTTTTTGCACCAAAGGCATCTCAAGAATTATTTCTTGGCTGTCGGCTCCAGATGCCATCAAACTTCACCAAAAACATTCCAAAAGAACTACATCAAAAGGATAATGTGACCTCTGCTGGAATCCAGCGCCTGTCACATGGAAGGTGTTCTATATTATATAAATATATAGTATTATATTCCATAGTGATGGAATATTTGAAATCTTGATAGTCTGTTAGATGAAAAGCATCCTTTTTAGAAATTTGCTTTTAGAAATGTATTAGTCTGAATATTTTCCTGCCTTTATTCAGCATATGCTTTTCCTCTTTTGTCTCTTTTTCTAGGTTTTAAAAAATAGAGGTTAAAAAAAACCTCATCCTGGGGACTGTCCTGGGGGCCTTTATTGAGGATCTTCTGGGTGTTGAGATGGTGGAAGTGGAGTTGTGTACAAGATAGGCAGTTCCTGAAGTCCTGGTGCTTTCCTTCTGGTGGGGGTGGAGTCAAAAAATGTTTTTAAAAAGTCAAAGTAAAATTTCTAGTGTTTGCTCTTGATTAGCTTGCAAGCATTTTTCTTCTAGAAGAATGGGATTGTCTTTTAATTTTGCTTATGATGCATTTTCCTATTTTTAGATTTATTTTTGGTAGTTAGATCTGTTGGTCTTTTGTAGTAGCCTTAGAACTTCGTAGTTACTTTTTGTCTGTTTTCCTTGATATTTTAAGCAACACTAGGATGGAGGGAGTGTTTTGTTTATCCTTGAAAGATAGTGTAGTGTAGTATTTGAGATCTTTAGACTCTGGATCCTTTACTGATGAGGTTTTGGGATACAGGTGAGGTTCAGTGGAGTGGAGTCCGGAGCCGACGACGTTTTATTAAAGCACGGGGACAGGACCCATGGACAGAAAGAGCTGCTCCACCGGGGTTGTGAGGGGTGGCTGATTTTGTACTATGGGGTTGGGGGAGGTAAGGAAAAAGGGAGGTTTCCAAAAGAACTTTCATATGCTAAAGACTCACAGGATACCGGAGGCCTTGCTGTTGTCAAGTTAAGGTGTTTACCCCTCTAGGAGGGCATTAACATTAATTAAGGTTGTTGGGAACTTCCTGGAGGAACATTACGCTGCCCACTTCAAGTATCTGTCAATGGGCTGCAGGTTATAAGGGCATTTAATTGTATCTACATTTCCTTCTGAAAGCTAGGTTATGGATAATAGGAATGCTTTGTTCTTGTAGATTGCTAAGACATTTATAAACTGAGGGAGACACCTGTCTTGTAGGATTGTGATCTAAGTTAACTGTTTTTCCTTTAGGGCAGCCAGGTGTGCCTGAGGAATGTCACATGTATCCTGGGGGGGGTGGGGGGGGGGGGTTGTAGGGTGTCAGCATCTGCTTTGTCATCAGCTTGCCTTCTGTTCCCTGATCATTTACTACTTAATCTGTGACTTTATGCAAGTGGTTCAGCCTTTCTGAGCCACAACTGTCTCATCTCTAAAATGGAAAGAGCACCTTTTCTCACAGCCCTGAGAAAAGTAAACTGTCTGGCACATAGTATGTACTCAGATATTATCTGTTGTCAGAATCATCATCCCTGGATACTCATTGTCCTATATTAGACAAACAATAAAGAATCAAAAGAGTGAATACACTAAGGATGTTTGTACATATTTCCAAATTCCATTGATTTGGAGCCCTCTTGAAATGGATGAAGCTGCTCAACAAATATTTATGAAGCTTATGTGTGCGCAAGGTTGTGGGCGTAGAACTATGATAGAGTCCTTCCCGTCATGGAGCCTATAGTCTGGCCAGGGAAAGACATCAGATACTGGTTCAGAGAATAAAAGAGGGAAGGTAGGATCTGGTTTTGATGACTAATCAACTAAGTTATTTCTTTAGAGGTTACATTTTAAGCCACTGCCTGAAGCAGGAAAAAAAGCATATGAAAAGACCCAAAGGCAGAAGAAGTTGGTATAGTTAAAGAATAGTGTAGAAATACTAGATTAAAGACAGTATTGCTAAGATATAATGAAAGAGAAGGAATGTTGGATGAAAACAGTTATGCTGGCTATTATGTGGAAGAACAGTAGTGAAAGCAAAAAGAGCTCTGGGGAAACCATTATATTCCTGGCAAGAAGAAATGGTGGCTTGGTCAGAATTGATGAACTTGAGATGGTGAAGGTGTGGAATCAACAGGACTTGATAAATTTGTGATGATGGGGGGGGGGGTCTGAATATTTTATGAACCACCCAGGAGTTCAGGCAGTCTGGATTGGAGGCAGAAAGTACAGAGTCATAAACACAGAACAGGGTTTCTCCACTTTGGCACAATATTTTGTTGACATTTGGGGCTGGATAATTCTTCGTTGGGGGCTGTCATATGCATTGTGTTTAGCAGCATCCCTAGCCTCTACCCATTAGATGCTGATGAAGTTTTAGAATATAAGTGAGGTTCAGTGGGGTGGAGTCCGGAGCTGACGACTAAGAAAGAATTCTTGAGACGTCTTCGTTGCAAAATAGTGGTTTATTAAAGCACAGGGACAGGACCCGTGGGCAGAAAGAGCTGCTGCCCTGGGGTTGTGAGGGGTGGCTGATTATATACTATGGGGTTGGGGAAGGTAAGGAAAAGGGAGGCTTCAAAAGGATTTTTGTATGTTAAAGAATATTCACAGGATACCGGAGGCCTTGCCATTGTCAAGTTAAGGTTGTTTACCCTTCTAGTAAGGCATTAACATTAAGATAGTTGGGAACTTCCTGGAAGAATGTCACACATGTCTCACCCAGGATTGGGGGTGGGGGTTGGTTGCAGGGTGTTGGGCTTATGCTTTGTCTTCAGCCAGCCTTTTCTGTTCCCTCATCAATGCCAGTAGCACCCCATCCCCCAGTTGTGACAAGTAAAAATATCTCCAGACCTTGCCATATGTCTCCTGGTGGTCAAAATTGCCATTGGTTGAGAACCACTGGTAGAAATGGTCTTTTATAAAAGCCATGGAATTGACTGATATAACCCAGGGAAAATAAAAAGCAGAGGTCTAAAACTATTGGCCCAAAGACCACAAAGATTGTTGTAGACAAGTTCTTTTTGACTCCACAGAATTTGATAATCTCTGGAATTAATTACCAGTATTTACAAATTGAGAGATTTCTGCATAAAATCTGATTTTTGCCCTCTTTTAAGAAATCAAGAAACTGAGGAGCAATGAGTTCTTTCCCACATGAATGCTAACGGCTGGAGGCTTTGAGATTTGGCATTCATATGCTTAATTCATATGAATCCCTGCCCCAGAGTACTTCACTGTTTTAAGTTGCTTGCCTATTCCCTTTGGCACTTGAGTTTTTGATTCCTTAATTTAGAGTGAGAAGAGGGCCCCAGAGCAACCCTCTTGAGACAGGTCAACATTAAAATTTGGGTAGAGGAGTGGCGCTAGAGGAGATTGAGAGGGAGTGGCCAGTGAGGTAGGAGGAAAACCTAAATGGAAGCTCACAGAAGCTGAGGGAGAAGGGATGTGTGTTGAAAAAAGAAAATATTGCTGAAAGATTGAGTAAAATCACCTTAGAAAAATATCTATTGGATTTGCTCGTGTGGTGGTTGTTGATAACCTTGTTGAGCAGTTTTTGTGGAGTTAAGAGGTTGAGGCCAAATTGGTTAATGACAAAAATGAATATGCAGAAGCAGTGAATTATGAATTGGTAAAATTATAGTAGATCATGATGCCTTTGACCACCGCCTCATTGGTTCTCAGCAGCATCCTCTTCACTGCTGTGGCTTGGTAGTACCTCAGGGCTGCTCCACAGTTGCCCTTAGTACCTCACAAATTCCCAGAGTAAAACTGTCTCCAGTGTATTTGTCATCTTTGCTGTTGGATGGTGGTGGTATACCTTGAAAATCTGATAAGATCAGTGTAAATGAGCAGTCAGGGTCTTCTCGTTTTATCATATACCTAAGCTTAAAATGGAACCTCTATTTAGAGCATATGTATAGAGGATACATTTGGGTTTGGAATTCTGCAGTTGATATAAAAAAGTTAACATGTCTATAAAAAATGTAGTGTACATTGCAGGGAAAAAGGTATGGAATTGGATCATCATTTCATCAAAGAAGCTCAGGTGATGATACCAGCTGTCTGAAATATGGCAATGTTGATGTTATAAGTAAGTGTTTGCTTTTGGAAATCAACCTATAATATAAAACAATAGTGATTGTGATATGAGATGGGGAGATAGCATGTGTGATTTGGCTATAGAGGGGGTAGAGAAATGACATAACTGGTGAGGGGTGTGGGATCCAGATTTTATCTATAGATGAAAATACACTACATACATTTTTTTTGTGCCAATGAAAGTCTTAGGCAGAGAAGGAGAAATAGTTGGATGATTGAAGATATAATGCTAATTAGTAAAGATGGCAGCCTTTCCATGTTGTTTTAGAAACTAAGGAGATCATTTTGTCATGGGCCCCAAACTGCCAAGGAAAAAAAAAAGGAAAATACTGTCTGTAGTCACCCAGTGTGACAGATTTGTTTTGTAGCTCTACTCTGAATCTTTGGTTTCTTTCCATAGGTTCTTGATCTTCCGCAATGGGTGAGCCACAACAAGTGAGTGCTCTCCCACCACCTCCAATGCAGTACATCAAGGAATATACAGATGAAAATATTCAGGAAGGCCTAGCTCCCAAGCCTCCACCTCCAATAAAAGACAGTTACATGATGTTTGGCAATCAGTTCCAATGTGATGATCTTATCATCCGCCCTTTAGAAAGTCAGGGCATCGAACGGCTTCATCCTATGCAGTTTGATCACAAGAAGGAACTGAGAAAACTCAATATGTCTATTCTTATTAATTTCTTAGACCTCTTAGATATCTTGATAAGGAGTCCTGGGAGTATAAAACGAGAAGAGAAACTAGAAGATCTTAAGCTGCTTTTTGTACATGTGCATCATCTCATAAATGAATACCGACCCCACCAAGCAAGAGAGACATTGAGAGTCATGATGGAGGTGCAGAAACGTCAACGCCTTGAAACAGCTGAGCGGTTTCAGAAGCATCTGGAACGAGTCATTGAGATGATTCAGAATTGCTTGGCTTCTTTGCCTGATGATTTGCCTCATTCAGAAGCAGGGATGAGAGTAAAAACTGAACCAATGGATGCTGATGATAGCAACAATTGTACTGGACAGAATGAACAACAAAGAGAAAATTCAGGTCACAGGAGAGACCAGATTATAGAGAAAGATGCTGCCTTGTGTGTCCTAATTGATGAAATGAATGAAAGACCATGAAGGATGTTTCTTCTTTTTGCTTTTCTCTTTTCCTTTTCAGTAAATGGTATATACTCATTAATTTGCTCTTGGAGTGTCTTAAAAGAGCTATAACTAGAAGTCATGTGAATGGCTTGACTCCAACTTTATCAATTATGAGATGTCACAGGCATTGCACTGTATGGCAAACATGGGGAAATGAGTATATATGTATACACTAAGAGTAATCACCTTGAAAAGGAAAGTGCTGTGATTGTGTGGAACATTCCTGGATTTGGAGTTTAGCTCATGGTCTCAGGGTCCTGGGATCGAGCCCCGCATCAGGTTCCCTGCTCACTGGGGAGTCTGCTTCTCCCTCTCCCTCTGCTGTTCTCCCTGCTTGTGCTTTCTCACTCCTGTTCTCTCTCTCAAATAAAAAAAAAAAAAGAATCACTGATAAAGGTAGTACCTTTTCCAGAGGTCTTCTTTTAATTCTTCCCTCAGTTCTTGGTTCCAAGTATACCACCCTTCAGGGATTTGCTGTATTGAGGTTTATAGTCCTAGAGCTGGCGAAGTCCAGTTTAATGTGGCCAGAGGCCTATTTTGTATATGAAACATTCATGCATCCTTTTCTTGGGAGTGTAGACTGTTGCCAAGTAGATACCTCTCTACTAGACAGGCAGCTAGTTGGGCAATTTTTTTTTTCTATATGTGTTTGATAAAGATTTTTGGGCACTGGGAACATAGTCCAGGCTCTCAAGATTAAATTGAAGGGGGAAAGGAGCACCGAAAGGAGCACCGCGTCTGTGGGGGAGCAGCTGGATGTTGCATAACACTTGAGCAACTCTTCAAAGAAATCTCTCCTTTGGCCTCAACCATTTTATAACTTAGGATGTTGGGCTAGGAGGTACTAAACCAATTTTTGGCTGCTTCACAATTCTGGACAAATCTAAATGAGTCATGTAAGAGTCACATCATTTGTGTAAGAGTGTGTGTGTGTGTGTGTGTGTATGTATGTAGGTAGGGAGGATTAGGGGTTAAAATTCCATGAGGAATCTAATTTGACTTTGGGAGGATCTGATCTTGGAGGCCTGGGTGGCACCTGACTGAAACTAGAGTGCTAATGTGAACTGCAATTACAATGAGAGTGGGAACACTAGTGGTCTTATAGTTGTTACAAGTTTAAAAGTTACAGTCTTTCAATCTTGTGAGGGTCAAAATACATCTCTGCCTACCTAGTTATAGTGAATATTCCTGATAGACGGATTCCTCAAAGTGAAATCTCTGGAATAGCCTGGCACCTCTTGAAATTACTGATTCCCAGACTGCAGAGATTCTGATTTCATTGTTCTGGGGTGGGGCTTTGGCACTGGTTTTAAGAAATCCCTAGATGGGGCGCCTGGGTGGCTCAGTTGGTTAAGCAACTGCCTTCGGCTCAGGTCATGATCCTGGAGTCCCGGGATCGAGTCCC